TAGTAGCTATCCTAGCAATAGATTCAATATATCTTAGCTGCAGGCTTAGCAATTGATTCAATATACTCTTTCCATTTTATGTCAGCTGAAAACGTTACTCCGAGAAGGCACAATGAGTCACTGTTTTGAAGCTTATTATCACCCATGCTGATGGAAGATACAGTAGGGTCCTCGCAGATGATTAAAAGAGAGCAGTTTTGTTTTTGGGCGATAAAACTAACAAGCTGTTCCTTGCTCATTTAACAAGAGATTGTAGGTAATTTCTTAAGATTAGTTGCCAATTTGACCTAATCAATCCGATTCGACTTACTATTAAAACAGGAATAAATGGTTGCGTTATCATCATAGATATCAAGTATTCATCTGAAGTAAAAGAATAATTTTTAATGGTATTTTTTCTCGTATCTGGTATTTTTTTTTACTGTTTTGTTGTTTGATTTTCATTGGTCAATCATGTTTTACGTGCATTCGACACTTTAGACCAACGTTAGCATAATTTGTGGATTTCCGAATTTAAGGAGAGACATTGCATTCTTTCGAAGTTCCAAGAAATTAATAAGTTTCGTGAACACATATGTTGGAGTAGACATCTCTGTTTATATATCTAGTTTGCTTTGGAGACTATTTTAAATTTGATACTTATTTTCGCTCTACACATGTAGATATCCAGAAAAGGTTCGCCTTTCCTATTTACGCAAACAAACCACTTAGTGCTGGTGTTAATACAATTGTGCTCGGTGTAATAAAACAGAGCTATTAAGTATATACATATGATCCCTCATCGACTCGAAGTTTCATGCACAACGCAATCTTCAGGTGCTGAGTATAGACTGTCCGTTACGTAATTTAAATGTTAATAAAAATATCTGGTTACCACAGTGTTGATGCAGTCATAAATCATAATAACCGTCGAAAATTTCCAATAAATAAATAAGTTTAGCTATATAATTATAATAGTCACTATATTATTAATACGGGGATTACAGTTTATTATATAAAAAATATATATATTTAGCATCTAAAATATAAAACGGGATTTATATATATGTAAAAAAAAATACTTTACAGTTATGAATATTAATTTTTATATGAAGCATAATGGGAGATTGTTCGTTCGTTTTCCAAAAAACAAACATAATTTACATTAAAAATTAATCTGGATCAACGTATTTCAGCTGATATGTGGATTATGCTTACACGTAACCATCAATTTATTTCTCTTGTGTAATAAGCTATAGTTATTTAAGTGTTTTTTTCAGCAAAGCATAAATTCTATCTATCGCCTTTCCCATTGTAAGATTTGACTCTTGCTACAATATTCTACGTAATAATGGGTGTATTACCACCATTCTTTAATTGTCATTTGGTAACTTTAGGCAGTATATCATACTTATTATAAAACCCAGGTTGTGTGTGTGTGTGTGTGTGTGTGTGTACGTTTATATATTGGATCGGATTTCCTACATTTTTCAACCGATTTCAACAAAACTTCACAGGACTACGTAAAATTACCTTTCGGTGGTTCTGACAGCGCCCAAAATTGGAAAAACACAATTTTTTTTGCACAATTTGAAAACACGATTAACAGGCATCGCGAGAATGAAAAGGGGACAACTCATATCGAGTTATACTTATTATAAAACTCAGGTTGTTTGTGTGTGTGTGTGTGTGTGTTCGTTTATATATGGGATCGGCTTTCCTACATTTTTCAACCGATTTCAACAAAACTTCACTTTTTTTTTGGCAGATAGTGTTTATTATTGTCTTGCACACTTTTTTTCTTTATTTTTACATTCAGAATGCTTTAAAAATTCCATTTACAAGACAATTGTTTATAATAAAATTCTATTCAATCGGTAGACTCATAACGATTGAAAACAATGTTTTTGTTTGAGTTTGGGTTTGACCAATTCGTAAAAAACAAAACAAAACAAAAAAAAAAAAAAACAAAACAAAAAAAAACTAATTAAGACATGCGTGTCCGTCAACCTTAAACAATAATCTTTGTCAATTTTATTTTTCAGTCTTTATGATGGTCGATACTTGATCTATCTCTTACTGTTACATCCCCGGGCAACGCCGGGCTCTACTGCTAGTAATAAATAAATAGAACTGCTCTTTCAAATCATTTCTGGCAATTCTTAGAACAAAAATTTGGAGGCTCACTTGAGAATATGATCGACAATATTTTCCCTGCTTGAAAGGGATATTTAAAAATTGGGAAGATATTTTTAACTACTAAGCTTCAGATAAATAAATTTCACGCTTATTGTTTTCTTCTGGAGCCGATTATTTTTTTTTATAAATATGATCCATTTTTGTTTGCTAAGTAGTCTTTCAGTGAACCTATGGTGTTTGTTTGTTCGATCATTCAGTCATATGGACAAGACTACAATTTTCACACTTAATTACATTCTTCGCATATTTATTCGAGTATATAATATGACAAAATTAATTGTTAGCGATATTGACAACATAAAAAGAAAATCAAACCAGCTTTTCATGCAGACGCCCTTCCAATTTATACACAGTGATAAAAAAGGAAATCTGTGTCACATATATCCGCACACATATAAATGTAGTTTCTGTTTATCCTATACTAACATAATTCATTCGGTTGTACTTTAAAAAAAGATACACAAAATATTTTGCGTGAAGCTGTTCTCAAAGAATCTTTGTAATTCATTTCTTTCAATTTGAAAGAAAAATAATACTAAAATAAATAAAAATTATTGAAATTTCTAGATCCCTGTTTGAAGATTAGTTTAATTCTTCGCTTCTACATGCATATTCCACTACACACGAACACACACACACACACACACACACACACACACACACACACATATATATATGTATATATTGAGGCAAGTTTCGTTGAATAATTTAAACAAGTTTTGTCAGCTTATTTTCAACATGATGAGCTTTCGGTATTGTCTGTATTAAAAGAAGAGAGAAAATTACCGTGTTGATATATATTGTTTTATTTCGAGCACTTTCGAGATTAACACAACGTCATCGTCAATGTATGTTTTTAAGACAAAAATGTAGTGTTCATTATTTCTAAAGACGTGTAACAGTATAAATGTCCATCCCACAAAAGGTTTAATATCTAAAAACCACTAAACGAATTGGTTTTCTTTATTTTCCAGGTTTTCAGATAAGACGGAAAACGATTAACCATCTTGACACAAGTAAGAAAAAACCCTTTGAGTTATTCAGCTACAAAAAAAACAAAAAAAAAACAGGTTAAAATCATCCTGTGCCAGACTCAGTGTCTTACCAAATGAGCAATGATGAGAAGAAAATGATCATTCAGACCTTCAGTAATGGTACCAACATTTTTACTATGGCTTCCATCTTCAAAGTTCATTCAAAAGTCATCAAGAGAACAGTCAATAAGTTTTAAAAAGAGGGAACAGCCGAGAGGAAAACTGGATCATGGGGTCCCAACAGGAAGAGGGATCATCTTTTCACCTTAGAGCTAAAGAGATCAATTATAAAAATCCAACTCAATTCATAAGACGCATGACAATTAAGAGAGAAGTTTCAGCTATGACAGTCCAGAGAGTAGTGAAAAAAGACTTGAAAATGAAATCGTACGTGAAACGTGTGTGGCTCCAGGACAGAAAGTTAGAAGATTAGAGAGAGCGAAGAACATCGTGAATATGTTGTAAATCGATCGTGGAATAATATATATATATATATATATATATATATATATATATATATATATATTTGAACTTAATTTCAATCCTTCATGAGCTTCCGATCTTTAGCTATGATTAATTAATGATGAACATATCATTTTCGTTAATGATCGATTTCATCATGATTCAGTAGTTACACATCCTTATTGCTCAGAGTAGAGTATAATAGGGCGATAAAAAACCCGGAGAATTCCAGTAAAAAAAAAAAAAAAAAATCTAAGAAACAAAGGTTCAAAGCAAAATCTAACAAATGTACAATTTTGCTTTTACACGATTTGGACAATTTTGCTGTTACACCCGGTATCTATCTATCTATCTATCTATCTATATCTCTATATATAATGAAAAGTACGATAATTTTTAAAAAATATTTATTGTTTATACATTATTTTTTATAGATACAAATATTTAAGTAAATGATCTGTTTAACAAGGTCGAATTACTGCTTTTAACCACAAATTTTCCCATGATTTCTCTCGAACGTTCAAATCTAATCGAAGCGTATCTTAACGTAAACAAATGACGTCATATATTATGAAATTAAAGTCGGACATTTATTTCAATATATTTATTGTTTATGTGCTAATTTTAAAGATACAAATATTTACGTAAACACTTTCTTCATAATAAACAGTATTAACCTCGTTTATCGGCCTGAATGTCCGAGAAAATTCATAGAAAATATGTATCCTCCGACAGGAATCGAACCTGTATACTACGCGGAACCGTCATATAACCTGACGTGCTATACTATTTAGGTACAGAGGAAGCGTCTGGTTATCAGGGTCGAATTACTGCTTTTAAACTACAAATTTCCGATGGTATAGCACATTAGGCTATATGACGGTTCCGTGTAGGATACAGGTTCGATTCCTGTCGGAGGACACATTTTCTATGTAATTTCTCGGTCATTCAAGCCAGTAAATGTTGTTAATACTGTTTATTATAAACAGAGAATTTACTGAAATATTTGTGTCTGTAAATATAACGTATAAACTATATATATATATATATATATATATATATATTTATAGATCAATGATTTTCTGACCTTAATATATAGCGAACATAATTCATTATTGGGATATATTTTTGATTCAAATAAGGAATTAATTACCGGCGCAACAATATTACAACTATGGAGGCAGCGAAACGCAATGGTCACATGGCTTTGACCTATATCTACCGCCGAAAATTTCCAATAAATAAATAAGTTTAGCTATATAATTATAATAGTCGCTATTTTTTAAACTCTTGGGAAATCAACATTTCCATCTGCCACTTTTTACTTCGGCACATAGGCAATTCATGTTTAGGTGTACCATCTTTACCAGACAGGAATTTTTTCAATTCAATAAATAAATGCCATAATTTTATTGCCCGTCTGAGTTTTCATAACCTAAAGAAAATTTGTTTTTGTAAAGATGAATTCTATGCATGCGTTTAAACAGAGTGAGTCCGATAATTGAGAACACATCTATAGCGAGCCGTGAACTTAAAGTACCTAACGTAATGTTATGCGGCACACGCCACATTTTAACACTTTAATTTCTCTTCGCAGTCACTAATATCGAAACTTCTATTCTTTGTTAGGAAACGAAAAGGCATGCCGTTCGCCTTGCGCGAGCTTCCAATCACGGCCACGCGGAATTGTGATATTCTTAAAGATAGTCAGGTGAGATAGAAGCACGGATCCCACGTAGATACCCACGATGATACATACCAAGTTCACATAATCTGTGATAGTCTTGGCAGGGTGGAGGGTTGCAAGCACCGTAGGTCATGATACCCAGCAACAGCTTTTTCCCGCTGCCAGTTTCAATGTGCTGGACACGGTGGTCAAAGCCTAAATGAAGTTGGTGGCTGTTCCCTCACACTGTGACACGAGATTGTGGCCAAAAGTTATTTAGTCATATCAACCCCCTAACAACATATGATATCATGTGTCTTTCGATTTCAATCCTCTAGAGTATTGGGGCGACATCGTGTAACGCTATGCTTGGGACACCTAAATAGAAGGGGATGGTGTGTTATTTCTGTGTGATATAGTTTACGAAACGGCCAACTATTTAACCCAAATGATGTAACTATCTCTCCAATTTAAGATCCATCACGTCTCTTACATTGAGGTGAAACCCTTTCATTCTCTTCATAATACTTTAGTACGGAGTAAGTTCCATTCGGATAGCTTTTTCCAAAGAACTGTTACTTTGTGGAACAGAAACCTAGCGGGATGCTTTTCCGACCACTACAACCTTAATCTTTTCAAACCGAGGGTTAAAGTTATCTTTCCCTTTTCTCATAAACTGTACACCTTACTCTTAACGCTCACGCAACCACCGTCTTCAGTTACCCTCTACATTGAGTGGCGCTTTGGCCACATATAGTGCAAACATTAGTAAAAAGAAAATAACTAAATTAAAACTTTTGATGTCAAATGACAAAAAACTAAACATTTCCGATTGCTGGTCTATATTAGCGGTCAGTGTTGGAATTGAACAGAGTTATGGACCATCCTTATCGGAGTACATACTGCCGCCTGTTTGAGTTGCCAGCCACACGTCTTGATGTTGGGATGTGCAGAGAGATGGTAGAAGGAAGAGTCGAAGGGAGAAAAAAGATGATTTGTTCGTCTGGTAAGGCAGATATTGTCCCAAGTACCACCGACCTACCAATCCAAAGCGAATAAGTCCAGCCATGAAATAAACAGATAAATATAATGGGAATAGGATTCAAGTGCTTATTTCTCAGCGTAAAGATGTTTATTTTTCCATACTTAGTTTTCGTGCGAGCTTGCAGTGAACTTTTCCCATATTTTTTGTACAATCGACAGGATCGAGAAGCAAGTCGCAACGTGGGGTTCCATGTGCCCGCTCAGTGGAAATCTGGGAGCGGCCCCGTTGAAATTTTATAGTCGTGAGTGAGACCAAGAAGAAGACCCTCAATATTAAGGACTTCTGTATGACGTGATGGAGTCAATGAATCAGAACAACCTTTCGGAACCTCCTTTAGGCTTTAGACTGTTTTCTAAAGTTCAGGTTGTACACAATGTTTTTCAGTGGAAAGTTGGGAGTCGCCCGTTGGACTTGTACAGCCGTCGCCATGTTTCTTCGGGAAGCCGTCCTTTAGTCTGAAGACTGTTTTCTAAAGCTGATGTTGTACACAATTTAAAAAAAAAGGTCTGTTGAATATATATATTTTTCTTAATACAATTTAAATCTCTATTTTTTGTAATCCTATTCTATATACAAAGCTACAGATCAAGACATCAACACTGAAAATGAAATCGGCTTGTCGAGTTCACGCACGATGAGAGATGGAAAGTTATATCTTATCCCCCTCCCCACAAATAAATAACAAGGTAGACCGCTCTTTCAAATCTAGATTAGTAGCAAATTTAGATGGAAAACACCGAACGCAAAACCCGTGGAGACGTTTGCAGGAAATCACGTTATTACATTTCCCAAGAAGTCACAGATATGTTTTACGCTTAAGGCTGTCCGTCATTGCTGACGACGGCACTGTCCTTTCATCTCCGTCCGTCTTCTGTGGGCTGCCAAAGGAGATTGCAGTCCGATCCGCGAGCGACAAATTTTCGGGCACAGGTAGCAGGGAAACATGCCCGGTGCGGGATTGGCAAGTTGCAGATGACGTTGGCGTCGCCTCCCCTCGAGCGCTCCTTGTCTCTCCTCATCGAAGTGCGCCACTCCGGCGACGCAGAGAGACCGCCAGCCGGTCGGATCCCTTGCGAGTTTTTCTAATTGTGTCGGGTCAATGTTGCAAGAGATAAGAGCACGCTTAAGATAGTCTCCGAATCGTTTCTTTGGGTCTACACTTGCGCGGCTGCCGATTTTTAGCTCTCCGAAGAATAAAATTTTCGAGAGGCGTTTTACGGAAAATCTGGATGGCATTCGTCCAGATGAAGCATAAAAATTAAAAAAAAAAAAAGCATAAAAAACTAATGCATCAGATAAGCGAGAAGAAAGTTATATTGAAAACATTCAGCCATTCAGTTTGCGCATATTGCGCCGCCGTTGTGATCACCACTCCCCTTCATCTTACAATTTGGGTTCATGTTGACATTCAAGGTAGAATAATGCAATGGCTTGCCGATTCCTTTCGCACCGTGATGTTGAGGTTACCCCGTCTCTCCTCTCAGAAGTTAAGAGGCAAGACCTACAAAGTAGCTGTTGGTTTAAACTCAGAGCTTTCCTTCTCCTAGACTGGCTATGGTATATGAAGGCCGTGTTGTGCCCAGCCTACATTCCACCCAACCACCAAGATCCAAACGAATACAGGGTACTACATTTTGGGACGACTTGGCTGCCCGAAATTTGTCAGTGTTGACAGCTAAAGGTCTTCGGGGCACCACTCCTGATTTTTTGTCTGGATTTACTTACATAGCCTTTTACCTGTTTTCCATAGCCGAAAACAAAATTTTATCGTCTAAATGCTTAAATGCAAAATAGCCGTGGGTTATAATCACTGTTTTCTTTCGCCTACATGAACTAATTTCCTAGACTGTCTAGCTGCATCTACCCGACGCAGATAGTTATTTGGCGCCAGCTTTTTTTCCCCTCACCCATTCTCCGGCTTGGAGCTGAACTTAGTTGTAGGAGGCAATTTGAGTTTTTATAGACATTTTAGATCATGCCCGGCTATGGCAACCTTTTGGAACATAATATACGCATATAAAAATTTATATACACTGTTTTAAAAGCTAAAAAAAAAAGAGAAGGTTAACAGTTTTTTAAATATGTAAAACGTTAGGTAAACATAGGTACCTCCACGAAATCGTTAAAAAAAGAGCATAGCTTGATGAAAAAGACGCCAACCTTGCCGAAAACAAAATTTTATCGTCTAAATGCTTATGTTATTATTAAGAGGAAAGACTAAATTTTTTTAAATTATTTAAAAAAAAAAATTTCCTTCCTTTTAGAATATTCTAAATTTTGATAAAAAAAACCTTGTTTTTCTTTGTATCAGCGGAACTAGTAAATAACATAGACAATTTTTAGCACGTTTTTTTTGGTATGACACACATTAATATGGAAAATCTTGCAAAAATATAAATAATTGTCGGATGTTAATGAAACTTTCAGGAACTATTCACAGATGATGGAAATTATTATAAATATGTTTTTATTTAATGAAAACGCTAGAAATTCGATCGAGTCTAGTTTAATGATTACAATTGTTAAAAGCACAAGGCATTGAGGAATGCAAATCATGTTTTTTCTTGTTTTTAACTGGACCCCCCCACATGAAAATAAGCTCTGAATTGTAACATACAAAACTCAGTAAAACAAAGATATTATTCAATTTCAAATGCTTTTATCTGTTTTTAGTTGTTTTTATGAATATGGATAATATTTTCTGAAAGCAAAATTTTTTTTGATGAATTTAATACAATTATTCGTTATTTCTTAATTATAATAGATTTTAATTTTTTAAAATATTACAAAATTAGTTAAAAGCAGCATCCACTTTCGTAAATATCCTTATGAGATAGATCTTTTTATCACATTGTAAATTGTATCGTTTTGACTAATCAGAAGGCCCGCAGTAATTAAGAAATGTAATTTTGTGCTTATAATCAGGCTGTAATTTTAAAGTACGGAAGACCAACCAGAATACAATTAAGTTACGTTATTTTAGTTAAGCATTGTTCTCCGCTGTTAAGGCCTTTACTTTTGCGAAACACGTGTGGAGAAGTTAATTTGATTTTTCAATTTCAACTCAGAAAGGTACCTACAAGTATCATCTTATGAAATTTATATGATCTTCTTTTAATATTAATCTCTGTTATGACATTTTTCCATAAATGAAATATCAAAATTTGTAATAAAATGAATGGAAATACAAATAAGACAGTAAAATGTAGTAAAAAATGTACATAAAGTTATATTATTTTATGTACACTTCTGATAAAATTTCATAAGAAAGGTACCTATAAATTAATTAGATACCTTTCTTATGAAATATGAAATTTAATCTCACTCTCAACAGTCTTATTTTAATTTCTTTATAATATATTTTCCATAAAGCATCCAAAACGTAAAGGTGAAAGCTAAGTACAAAAAAAAAAAAAAAAAAAAAATTAGAGCGCTGAAAGTTTTCCTTAAAAATAACGAGGTAAATAATTTGTTCACTTAAATGTAAATTATTTCACTTTTCTCCTTCCGTAGAACAAATTAGCCTCACGGAGCCGTCAATGTGTCATTCATCACCTGTCAAGTGACGCGAAAATTTATGACCTGCTTTGTTTTATTTTCAAATTACATTTTCTCGGCGCAAAAGCTAAGTTAAGCTTGGTTCAAAATATTTTAAATAAACATTTTAATTTCTGATTTTCTTAAAATAAGTTTAGAAAAAAATGATAATTGATATTTAAAAGAATTTCAAATTGAGATTTCCAGTTTTTTTATAGAATGGAAAAAAATGGTCAATTTTGCTGACTCCAAAAAAAAAAAAAAGATTTTTAACGAAAATTTCGGAGGTGCTAGGAACGATTAAAAAATGTAAAAAAGAAAATACCCCCAAAATACTTTGATCTTTCCTCTTAATAATAACATAAACATTTAGACGATAAAATTTTGTTTCCGTCAAGTTTGGCGTCTTTTTCATCATACTATGCTCTTTTTTTAGCGATCTCGTGGAGCTACCTAGGTAAACAAAACACTAGAAAGCAAGACAAATTACGAAATAGTATATAAATAAAAAAAAAAAACACAAATATCGAAAAGTTTGTTCATTTTAGAAAAAAGATAGCAGAAAGAAAACTTAAAATATAAATTGTGATTTAAGCCTAAAATACTCAGAGATTACATAGTCATTATTTAACATACACATAAAATCAGTTATACTAATTTTTTTGACAGTAACAACACCTAAACTATCCACTGATAACAGATAAACGAGAGTCGAAAGTGTAAAGTTGATAAATATAATTTTAGGTAAGCAAATTACAGAGAAAAAAAAAAGACGAACGAGCTTCAGGTTAGTTCTACAAAATCAAATAGGCACTAATACAGAAAAATTCGGTAACTGTGGAAAAGTTGAAAGAAATAATAATAAACAATACATATATAACTTCAAATACAATAATCATAATATATATGTAATATAACTTCCTTATGGAAAGTTTTTATCATAACACACACTCGTATTTAGTTGGTATAACGTAATACGTAATGTTTAGGCTATAGCCGTACGTCTGTATAGCTAGGATGAAGACTGTCTCGAATACTACTCAGTCCCCAACACTGAGATGAGTTATGACATAAGGTCGGGTTTATTTTGGGGAACCCGTGCGTTTTCACCCGTGCCATTGATCAAAATTTACCCAGCCCCGGCAAAGGCGGGCTCGGATACAATACTGGTCTGTTTTTCTCAGCCGGGTCTCTGTCCGATGACAGAGCCCCGACTGAGCCATCCTGTGCTCGAAAAGAGAGGTCTTGTCACCTTCTGCACGAAGACAGAGGTCTTTTCATAATGCTAACCTGGGACTAACTCTGATGCGACAGTCTCCCCACTGCAGACTAGATACGACACAAGGTCAAATTTTATGTGGCGAACCCGAGCGTTTCTATCCGGGCCACAGGTCAAAATTTACCCAAACCCTGCAAACGCGGGCTCGGGGACATTACTTGTCTGTCTTTCTCAGCCGAGTCTCTATCCAAAGACAGAGCCCCAACTGAGATACACTGTCCGAAAAAAACAGTGGTCTTGCCTGTCTAGAGCCTGACATGGAGGGGCTACTAATTAGATAATAATTATTAAAATTCTCAGAAGATTACGTTGAATGGTTAAAAAAGAAAGAAAGATAAAAAGGAATGCGTCAAGGACTATGATTTAAACAATAAAACGAATTTAAGAAACGGCCCCAAAAGAATAGAACGTAGAAATAACTAGCCAAGATTCAGGAAAACTAAAGTTCTCCACTCTATCCACTTCCCACCGATAATAAGACATGATTAATCTGTAATTAAATTCGAGTTTCTTTTACACTCATAGTATCTTTTCAAACAGTGTATATTCTGGCATTAATTGAGTGACTCAGATTCTTTTAAACAAAGATGGCATCTTGATAGTGCCTAATTTCCAACAGAGGAATTTGTTTACATTTATACTAAGCGTCCAAAGTGTGTATATTCTTACAAAAAATGATGACTCAAATACCTTTAAACAAAGAAGGCATCTGGGTTTTGTCTAATTTTTCAAACTTGGGGTTTGTTTATATTGATGCTATCCGCCCCCAAACACCATCATTATTACAGAAAGAAAACATATAAAAGAGAATCGCACAGGGTTATTAACAAGATCTCTTCAGATTAAAAAAAAAACTTGAGTTGGAGAAATTAGATACATCAATGTTACATTTTGGGAGAGAGTCATTTATATAAACGATGGCCAACCAAGTCCGCGACACACAAAAAATCTGGCCCGACAAGCAGATTCGTCAGACAGCCGCAGCCTCACAAGAAGGACACCCACATTTTCGTGCAAAATGGAAATTGTAAATTCAAACAAATACAGCAATGTGAATATCTACGAAGTATTCATCAGGCAACGGAAAGGGCAACAATGAAATCCTAAGGCGCATTGGGAAGCGAAATATGCCTTCCAAAAGTTAAGCAAAGTATTAAGAAACAAAGAGTACTTAACTATTACGTAATATCAGTTCTCCTATATGGCAGTGAATGCTTCAAAATCTTCTCAAAGTTAAAGAGACTTGACACAACAGAAATGTGGTTCTATAAAAGATGTTAAGAACAAAATGGACCGGAC